GTAGTTGCCTGCCATACACAGTTCTTTTTGCATGTTCTTTTTACCTGATGGATTGTAAACATAGACGATCTGTCGCCAACATGTACTTCAGACACGGTGAAAGTGAAAAACATGTACTCTGGTGCAATTTGTACTCCTCGTGAAGTGCAACATGTACTTCACGCACATGTAACATATGATCCATGTTGCTAACATATACTCTGCCTGGCGCATCAATCGCGCACTAGTGTACGTGTTGAGTGTGCATGTAAATAAAAACGCGAGGGTGGGATGGGGGCAGGCACCGGGCTAGCACGAGCGAACCAACCCGGCAGAGGGAGCCAGGCGCAACGCATGCCCCTCCTGTCGCAGCCGAACTAGCCCGGCGTGGGGCGAGGATGCCGACAGGCGGGTCCCGCCTCTCCTTCGTGCACGGGACAACACGCAAGATGCCGCACGTGAGGCGGCCAAAATCACCCATGATGGTGGCTCTGGCTGAGCACACGGTCCACATGTCATGGACCCTTCAGATGGGCACCCGGGTGCGTACTGTCCGACAGATCACACGACATGAAGAGCCCCCGAGAGGGCCCCCGCGGCACGCCACCGGACAATGGACGGGGCAAAGGATAGTCTCGCTCGTGGAGGCACCCAGGAGGCGGGCACTCCAGCCTCTTTTACAAGAGTAATGATACCCCAGCATCTCCACTAGGTACCCAATAATAAGGCACAAGCACTTTTTGCGACAAAAAAGTGCTTTGCCCTGTATGAAAAAGATTACTTTAATTTGCAGCACCACCAAAATAGGGCACCAGGTGTTACAAATATGCAACATCTGGGCGGCTGGAGTAAAACAAATTTGCAGCCGCACCACCACCGTGTCAACACCACCCAATCGGCTAAATCTACACCCCGCCGCATGCCGCATCCGCAGCGGGATCTGTTCAGCATCTTCGTTGCCGCCCGCTGCGCCAATGAAATCCGCCACCATGAAACCTTCATTTCACCACACCACCTCCGCAGCGGCACGCTCGATTCGGTCGCCATCGGCCACCGCCTGCCGCCGCCCGTCCCCACTCGATGCCGCCCCACCTCCACGCCGATGTCGTTTTGTCCTCGCCCTCATTGCCGCGGCGTCACCATACTCGCGACGCCGCAATGCCGTCGAAGCTCAAGTCAAGAGCAATACCAACTTCAAGAGGGTGGGGGCGCATGGCTCTGGCCACTTCGGCGTCGAGTTCCAATGCGACGACCGTCGCTACTGGCTCGACACGTTCAAGACGGCGGGCATCACGACGTGAGCCTATGAGATCGTCGCTTGGCGGCTCGGCCGGCCGCGAGAGGAGCTCAACTTCTCGGGGATCACAACCCGAGAGGATGCAGAGTTCATCGGTCTGCCAGTGAACATTATGCCGGTTAATGAGGAGGAGGAGGAGAAGAGCAATGCGGAGTTCATCTACATTGTTCCCGGCGAGAGCGATGCAGAAGCCATGGCGAGGTTCGCGAGGGAGAACTCACAGTACATCCAATACATGACGGAGTTCTTTTGGAAGCGAGACCACGAGACGAAGAAGGCGGTGAAGAAGGAGGACGAGGCTGGACCATCGACGGTGATCAACCTTTCATCGAAGGAGGAGTTCACATCCGATCAAGAGGAGACCCTGGCATATTGGAATTCGGTCGACATCCACTGTGTGTCAGACAAGTAGAGTAGTAGTGATCGTTTATGTTAGATCAAGTAGTATGGTGAACTTTTATGTTTCGGGTTTAAATCTATGCAATGTTTGGGTGTTTGTTTGAATTGATCTATGCAATATGCTTTCAAAAAAAATTAGGCCATCTATTGTAGTGGGAGGTCTTTAGTGTTGTGAAATGTTTCGGGTGTTGCAAATGCTTCAACCAACTTTTTCTTGGCCCTATTACAGGGGTCACCTATTGGAGATGCTTTTCTTCGAAAATGATCAAATCTATTATAAAAGTTCAGCGGAAGTACATCGAATTTCAAACATAATAGAAAATAGAGCGAAGTGCATAGTAGGTCCTTGAACTATTTTAAAGATATCATGTAAGTTCTCAAACTATGAAACTTTTCATCCAGGTCCTCGAACTATAGTAAGTGTGGCATGCTAGGTAAAATATGGTTCTCATACTACTTTAGTGTTTAGCTGATTTTGGACCTGAACGACACACTTATTGCACTTTAAGGACCTGAATAATGGTTTTCATAGTTCGAGGACCTACGTGACACCCCTCAAATAGTTTGGGGACCTATAGTCCACTTTACTCTAGAAAATACATCAAGATTTCGAGACCACCGAACGAACACTAATGCCACTAGAATGAGCCGCCTCCGCGGCGTTGTCAATACTGTCACCGCTTTCCTACCGAAGCCGGATTGATCTTGGTGATGACAGCCGGGATGTCTTCATGCACATGCCCCTAAGGATCAGTGCCCTAGAGCCGCAGTCGTCGCCATTGAGCTCTTGCATAGATCTGATCATCTGAAGCACCTGATACCAAATCTCGCCACATGATGAGAAACTCTTAACTTCACCGCTCTAAGAAGATGGCAGGAATCTACGCCAGAGCTCCTTCGACTATGTCCAGACCGACAAACTCGAGGTGAATCGAAGCTTGTAAGACAAATTTGAAGAAGAAGTGTCGCCATTCGCCCAAGCGCGGCACCTACAACAGCTTAAAACTGTAACTTGATCTTGCTTTCCTCCCTCCTCCCGGGTCGCCCCGCTCGCGTCCGGGAGGAAACCCTGGCCGCCGCCGGCGGGGGTCCCCCGCCTTCTCCTCCTCAACCTCGTCGCCGCCAAAGGGTGCGGCCAGGCGAAGTCTGGTTGGCGTCGACGGCGGTGGGGAGATCTCACCCCTTCGCTCAGCGGGCTCAGTATGGGCCGAGGTGGCTGGGCCGGGGTGTCGCGCTAGCGGCGGGCGCGACAGCGCGGTGGCGCGCTAGAACCGACCGACGGTGGCGTGGCGGGTGGCGTGCTGGAGGTGCGCGCTTGGGGGCCGGTTTTGGTCGCGGCTCCGACAAATCTGGCCATCCGGGTGGCGTGGCCCGGGGCGGTGCTGGTCACGGGCGGCGATCCATGCCTCGTCTTTCGGCTGGTGGGGGTGGCACCGTGACGATGGTGGTCGACCCTCTCTCGCATGCTGCTCGGCTGGTGGTTGTGGCGGACGTCGACGACTTGGCGGGTGCCGTTGGCCGGCCGGTGGTGGTGGGGTGCACTCGGGAGGGAGGCAGAGGCCTCCTGGTCCCTATCCCCGGTGGCGCAATGCGGTGGCTGTGGCGAGGACGAGGCCAGCGGCTACGACAAGGACGAGGCCGACACCTGCGGAGAGGTCGAGGTCGGCGGCTGCGGCGAGGTTGAGGACCGCGGCTGCTAGCAACCCTCTCCCCTACCTGGATCTGGCCGGCTGGGCCTTCTTCCTGCCAAGGGTTCGTTTTGGGGTGAAGGGAGTCCATTTTACCTCTCATCGCTCGGTTACGTCCATTAGGCGTCGTTGTGGTTGCAGAGGCGTCATGGATGGCGGGGCGGCGACCTCGATGGTGGTAGTCGCTATGCTTGTGGGCGAGGTGCGCGACTCAGGTATGGCCTGGTTGCGATGGCCTCTCGGGCGGCGTGGCGGCCGGTGCTTCGGTGAGCGGTGGTGTTTCAAAGGTGGAGCGTGCGTGCCAGGGGGCGATCCCCTGCTTGGCTTCGGTCGGGCCGGTGGCGGCGGCGTCCGTGGGCGTCGTCTCCTTCCTGAAGGTGTCGTCGTGGCTACCCCCCCCCCTTCGATCCAGGTGAAAGCCATGATCCTTTGGATCCGACGACGACGGTGCTCTCCTGGTCCCTATCCCCAGTGGCGCAATGCGGTGGCTGCGACGAGGACGAGGCCAGCGGCTACGGCAAGGACGAGGCTGGCACCTGCGGAGAGGTCAAGGCCGGCGGCTATGGCGAGGTTGAGGCCCGCGGCTGCTAGCAACCCTCTCCCCTACCTGGATCTGGCCGGCTGGGCCTTCTTCCTGCCAAGGGTTTGTTTTGGGGTGAAGGGAGTCCATTTTACCTCTCATCGGTCAGTACGTCCATTAGCCGTCGTTATGGCTGCGGAGGGGTCATGGATGGCGGGGCGGCGGCCTCGATGGTGGTAGTCGCGCTGCTTGTGGGCGAGGTGCGTGACTCAGGTGTGGGCTGGTTGCGATGGCCGCTCGGGCGGCGTGGCGGCCGGTGCTTCGGTGAGCGGTGGCGTTTCAAAGGTGCCAACGGCGATCCCCTGCTCGGCTTCGGTCGGGCCGGTGGCGGCGGCGTCCGTGGACGTCGTCTCCTTCCTGAAGGCGTCGTCGTGGCTACTCTCCTCCTTCGAATGATCTAGGTGAAAGCCATGATCCTTTGGATCCGATGGCGACGGTGCTCCGGTGCCGTTTCCTTTCTTGAAGGCGCTGTCTTGGAGGGCTACATTCGCCGAGCTCAGGCTCATCTCTCCCTGACAGTCTGTCATGGTGGACTACTCTGACTACTTCAAGCTCCGTCCTTATTGCTCATTTGTTGTATGTTTGGAGTGTTGGAGTGTTATGGCTGTTCCTGTACCTGCTATCCGGTCTTGGGTGTGTTGTGTGATGGTGTGGTGTGGTGTTGTGTGGTTTTCATTGACTGTATCGGTGATCATTGCTTTATAATATAAAATGGGGGAAAACCCTTTTTCAGTAAGTGCGACACTTGCGAGGACTAAAAACCTTAAATTTTTCTTCTCATCACCGGCGGCCAGAGCGGCGTGCAAAGACAAAGCGAATCCATAGGCTCGCTGATGAAATTTGGAGAGGAGAGTTTGCTCTAGCTGTCTAGAGTTAGGGGAGGAGGTCTCAGACATGCTCTTGAGCTAGTCATAGCTAAATGCGCTATGCTCGCGGGAACACGGTAAACAGCTAAAGGAGCAAAATCGCACTCTCGCTTTCCAACACAACTTCCTCGGCAGTATCGCCTAGTGTAGCAGCGGCTCCGTTCCGGCCAGCTTTGCTCGCCGAGCCGGCCATGATGCTGCTGCTCGCGCGCAGCCTCCGCTCCCGCCTCTGCCCTCCCCTCGCCTCCGCCGTTAGCGCCGCGCCTTTCTCATCGGTATCGGCGGCCGCGGCGGAGGCGGAGCGGGCGGTGCGGGACGGGCCCAGGAACGACTGGACCCGCCCCGAGATCCAGGCCATCTACGACTCCCCGCTCCTCGACCTCCTCTTCCACGGGGTACATACTCTCTCACTCCCCCTTTTCCGTCTGCTTTCCGTTCCAAGTTGGTAGTGCCCCCAATTTCCCAGTGGTCTCGTGCTCCCGGCTCTAGATTTGCTGCCAAGGTCGCTCCTCTGCGCCCTCTGGACTGTGGCGGGTAGACGAGCAGCTCCAGTTGGGCTACTTTTCCTTTAGACGTTCGTGTTGCGAGTGACATTGAGTGTGGCTCATTTTGGGATTAGTTTGCTTGGAGGAGCTTGGGGAGTGCACGGAGAGGTATTGCCTTTGGGGGAGTGACACTTTCTGATTGGTAAACCAGGATTATGAAATATTTGTGCACAAGTTACCTTTAATCTTATCAAATAATATAGGTACTATGCTAGAGGCTGCTAGCACCCGCTGGCCCATGTATTTAACATCCACACCCATTCCAGCTAACACCACTTGGAATTATTAGTTAAATAGTGTTAATCTGCCACCGAACATTGCAGTCGGCATGGTGGAAATTAGCTTCAACCTTTTCACTTCGGAGCCTTTTAGTAATGGAGAGTCCCCATCATTGACAGTGGTGTCAAGTCGAGTGGGATTTCGTTCTTGACGTCCGATTTAGCACAAGAGATATTCTCGGTCATGATTGCTGAACAGTTAAAAGTGGCGATTGACACAAAGAACATTACTAAGTAGCATCGATAAAGTTTTTTTGGGGCCTTGTTAATGGTTTGGTGTTGCCAGTGGTAGGTGGCAACTTTCTTTCTCGTTATCTACCAGTTTCAGAATTCTACAGCTTAATTCCCAGAGAAGAATTCAAATCGAATAGTGCATAACGTCTTCCTGGGAAATTTTGCCGTAAGAATAGTTCTGGCTTCCAGGAAATTATCTTCTCATTGGCGTGTTCATATGGATTGTAGATGTAAGGATAATTTTGTCATAAGGATAATCTATTTAGTTACTTTGTAAGGTGTATACTGTACTCAAGGACATTTAGGGAGTATAATCTGGAAATTTGCATCAAGGATTTTATGTACAGAGTGTTTGGATGCTTGGGATTCAAGACTACCGAAAGTATCATCTTTAGGAGGATTTATGTGGTGGGAATGGGTTTATGAGGTACCGAAGGTCATATGCTATGTACTTGGAAATCTTTTTCATAAATCCTCAATTGTCCACTATTTGATTGTAGATGGAAATCAGTAACAAATTTAGCATGACTAATGCACAAGTCAAGGTGTTAGGTAATAACTACATTATTTATTTGATGTAAAACTGTAACGGTTCTGATCAACTTGGTGCATCACAGCTTGTAAGCATTGTTTGCACCATATGAATTTGTAAGCTTGGTGCCTCTGTGTTGATTATATGTAGTTATGTACAAAAGAGACATGCAGGATGATCATTCCACTCATTCATTGTTCTGTTCAGCACATTCACCACATTTTCCTGTAATGTCATTTCATCCCAAGGAAGATTTATTAACTTTGTTTCTCGTAAAAGGGGGAAACAAAATCTTAGTTACCTTGTCTTCAAATTTAATCAGATAATACTGTCATCTTTTGTAGGCTCAGGTCCATAGGAATGTCCATAAATTTAGAGAAGTGCAGGAATGCACACTTCTTTCAATAAAAACTGGTGGGTGCAGTGAAGATTGTTCATACTGTCCACAGTCTTCAAGATACAGCACTGGATTGAAGGCCGAAAAATTAATGAAGAAAGATGCCGTCCTAGAAGCAGCAAAAAAGGTACTGTTTGTGTCCAAGTTTATGGTTCATGGAAACATTGGCTGGCCCACATAGATACTTAATCGTCGTGTTCCTTCTTCTGTCCTATTACCTCTTAGGCAAAGGAGGCTGGGAGCACCCGATTTTGCATGGGAGCCGCATGGAGAGAGACAATTGGCAGGAAAACAAATTTCAACCAGATTCTTGAATATGTCAAGGACATAAGGTATTTATCGAAAAAGCTAACATGGTAGAATTAGTGTGTATAACATATTTTGATCACAATGCATAGCGTTTGAGGAAATATTAGGAAAAATGCAAATTTTCTTAATCATATTCTATTTTTAAAATGCAATATATATTGGATAAATATCTGTGCAGAGGTATGGGCATGGAGGTCTGTTGCACCCTGGGCATGCTAGAGAAACAACAAGCTGAAGAACTCAAGAAGGCTGGACTTACAGCTTATAATCATAACCTAGATACATCAAGAGAATATTACCCCAACATTATTTCTACAAGATCGTACGATGATAGATTACAGACTCTTCAGCATGTCCGTGAAGCTGGAATAAGCGTCTGCTCAGGTTATTGTGCTTAAATCACTGATAATTATAACTTCCATCGTGTGATTCCTATATATGTGTCTTTGCCTCTTTATTAATGAAATAACTTGATGTACTGTTTCCTGTTTGCAGGTGGAATTATTGGTCTTGGAGAGGCGGAGGAAGACCGTGTAGGGCTGTTGCATACACTGGCCACTTTGCCAACACACCCAGAGAGCGTTCCTATCAATGCATTGATTGCTGTCAAAGGCACGCCTCTTCAGGATCAGAAGGTATGTTACTGTTGATTATTTTCTTGTAGGTTAAGATGTCGAAAGTTATCGTAAAACAGGCTTGGATAACCTCAGTTGTCAATTGGGTATGATATACAGAATATAACCAGCTTCATGCTAAGATTATATGCTGATTTATTTGTAATAATTGCTTTTGCTAACTAATGCGCATTACCAGCCTGTAGAGATATGGGAAATGATCCGCATGATTGCCAGCGCACGGATTGTGATGCCAAAGGCAATGGTGAGACTTTCGGCAGGGAGAGTACGGTTTTCCATGCCAGAACAAGCTCTCTGCTTTCTCGCTGGGGCCAACTCGATCTTCGCCGGTGAAAAGCTCCTGACAACTGCGAACAATGACTTTGATGCGGACCAGGCAATGTTCAAGATCCTTGGCCTGATTCCCAAGGCTCCAAACTTTGGCGATGAAGAGGTCATGGTAGCAGCACCCACGGAGAGATGTGAGCAAGCCGCTTTGATGTAAAATGTCGGTATAGATTCTCGAGACCACATCCGGTGCAAAACTGGCACCATTATCTCCACCTAGAGTTTTGTACTGTAGAGATCATGACATTTTATAGTAACTTCAGATTCATCGAAATAAAATAGGGGGTTCTCTGCATCGCATTCCTGGGAAGCGGTCGTGCGATGTTATTTTCAGCCAGGTTGCTGCATATATAATCTTGACGGTGCGGCACACGTAGAAGAGGGTAATTGTTCAGGTTACAGAGCTTGTAGCACAAGAAAAAGAGAAGGAAAGAAGAATACAGAGAGACAACCATAGGGGTGGATATCAGTCATGATCTGTGTCTGGCTCATTTTCTCCATGCATTTCAACCATTGAGAGCTACAGGCAGGAAGCTGGCGGTCTTGCTTGACCATCGACAAAATCGGATCTTTGTGTTAAGTGGCGTCCTGAAAAACTCTATATCTTTCCGGTGTTCCAGCGTGCATAGATAGCTCGAGCCGTGGAAATTGTCGATTCCACCATTGCTCCGGCGACGCAGCTAGGAGGGCCGCAGCAGTGAACACATTCGAGTCTAGCCAGTCATTCATGAGGTGCCGGAAGCCACGGGCATAGGGACAGTTGAGCAAGAGGAGGCAGTTTCATGCTCCTGGTCGCATAAACGGCAAAGGGGCTCATGGGGAATACTACCTCGCTTGGCAAGATTATCACTTGCGAAGATCCTTTCATGAATCCAAAGCCGAAGAAAGAGCTTGCATTTGGGCTGCACCTTTTTTTGAACTCCAAAGGATTGGGAAGTTTGCCCTGGAATAAGAACCAAAGAATTGTTGGAGATAGGCGGATTTATTAGTAGAGTAAATCATTGTTTCTCGAGAATTTGTTTCAGTGCCCAGGATCAGATGCACTCGAACTCCACGCCGTCAAGGTTTCTCGAGATATGTGATGTATCTTGTATTCTCCATTTGTATCTGCTCCGTATGTTTACTACAAATGAATTTGGCCCACAATATTCATTGGAGGTTGGTGCCATTCAAACTCTCACGGCACACCCAAGAGACCGACGGCAATTTCCTGAGCCGGGATGGCCGCTCACGCCGTAACTCGCCCTCAAACGGCCACGTATCCCCTAGCCCTTGGGAAGAATATCACATGCAAACCAACATTCAAAGAAAACTTTATGAAAAGAATAAGAAAATGCTACTGTTCACCGGCGGATGAAGCTGCGCGCGTCAACCGCCTTGGTAGTCGTCAGATTTGATTTTGATCAAACGGTGTGCAACCATCTTCAACCTTTGCAACTTGGCTCCAGTTGCAAAGCAAGCAGTGCAACAACGTGCTTGTTGCAAACGTTGTTTGTCACGTCCATCATGCAACCAGTCTTGTACATGCGTCACATGTCCCTCATGGGTCCCGTCCTCTACCTTATCTCATACAGAACAAATGTGAGCCACTCATTTTCTTCTTCCTTCCCTTTTCAACGCATTCAACACACCACGAATCACGCTGGCCGTCGGCACCTACCTGCCGCACCTGCCACGAATCGAGGCCTCCACCTCAGCGCGACCTCGACCACCTTCATTCACACCGGATGGCAGTCATGCCACCCCTGCTAGCCCCATGCCGGGGACCTACATGCTCCAGGCCGGCCACCAACAACGTCTGCATCCTCCAGTGCGCCTCCATGTCTCGGCCTCCAGCAACACCGTCACGTCCAGCAAGAGGTCATAGATGAGTTTCTGCTACAACGATATTGTTGCAAATTGCGACGGCCAACGACAAAAGGGATTTTGTTTTTTGCAACAAGACTCTTGTTGCACGAGTGCAACACTACGTATGTTGCAAAGGGGTCAACAATGAAGTTTTTCTTTCTGCGGCAAGGGCTTTGTTTCTGAAACATAGGCCTTGTTCCAAAGAAAAACCGTTCAACGTTTTGCAAAGTGACGAGTTCAACACGAGCCTTGTTGCAAAGGCTGCCGCACACTCACGGGGAGAAGATCAAATGGCTGCCGAGCTCATCATCCAATGACTACCGAGGTGGCGGATCTTTTCTAAACATCACCCGGTTGATGCGTAGCACGCCCCTTGTGAAAACCACGTTTGAAATGTTAAAAAAACTGGAAAAAATACAAGATGTTAAGAGGGTCATGCTCTATTGCTATGCAAAAATTAAAGTTTAGACACATTACGGGATGCAAACTATGAAAACAAAATACCAAATTCATCAATGGATAGTATGAAACACATTACCGGATGCGAGCTATGAAAAAAATCAACTTGGAATTTTGCATGGAATAGAACATCACCTTCTTAACATCCCTTTTTTAGATTTTTTTTTCAAAACTTCAAAACATCATTTCCGCGTGGTTTCCATGTGTTATTCTTTCTAGCCCATGACATCAACTAGCTCCTTCGTGATCTAAACAGAACGCAAAAGAACTGTCTCCTTCGTTTTAGGTCTTTCGATCGATCCTCTATCTCCCCCAGTCTCACTCCACACCACATCGACCCCACGATGTCAGCATCCGGGCCATCTTCTAATGCTTCCCAAAACCAGGAGCTCCCCTTCCTAATTACATTGCCTTTCTACGGTGACGACCTCATGACCTCCACCGCTCGCAAGGGATTGCAACCCGGCTATAGATTCTACAAGTGCACCCACTACGATGGACTGACCTACACAAAATTTTGCCCCATGCATTCCATTAACCATGTCTTCTAACTTGTGCCAATTCTATTTGTGTTTTTTGTTGCATGTGAATCCAGTCCCTGCATGTCCTTTCTTCGAGTTACATGATGTATATGTTGGAAGAATCAACCCACACCAGAAGGAGAACCAAGCTGCACAATAGCAAAGAAAATACAAAATGATAAACCAAAATGAATTAGCCAATTCCTTTTGCTTGGGAAACATGGCAAAATTAGAGTGTGTTTTCAATCCAGTGTTGAAGGGTTGAACTTTATTATCCTTGATCCTTAGGCTCACTATCCCGAGATCTTGTTTTAGAAGGACTTTCCACGCATTGGTACTTGGTGCAATGTTTCTAAGGATCTTACTATTTATTTGCATCCAAATGTTCCAACAACCCATGATCAAAATATCAAGAGCAATATCAGAAGATAGAGCTACGACGGACGGCTGGATGTCTAGGAGGACATAAGTGCTTCCTCTCCTATTATGAATTGAATCCCAACAACTCAGGCAAAAGGGTAGTTTCAAAATAAGTGCAAGGAAGTCTCCACACACTGAGTGCAAAGAACATAAAATTAGAGCTGGAAGTATTTCCTTTGAGGCAGATTCCTAGTGTTCAATCTATCATGCAACAACAATTAGAAGAAAACCTTATATCTTAGAATAACAACAATTTCTGAGACAAATTTGAGAATAGGATGAGCAAGGCACATATTCTCAAAGACGTATACATCTTGGTGGCAGAAAAGATTGGAGAATTCCAGGAGTATAGCCATTTGTCCTTATCCTTAGAGAGATGAATTTGATGCAACAAAGCCTACAATTGTTCAAACTGGTGGAAATCTTGCAAGGAAAGAGGTTCGCGAAAAAGCTCTTCCAAATTGGGGCAAATGACTGCTTGCTTGATTGAGATTGTATCATTCATAACAAATGAATAGAGATATGGAAATAATTGTAAACAACTCCTCTCTCCCTAGTCCCCATCTATCTCACTATTGAAGAATGGTGTGACCTTGACCAATCTGACAGGAAGCAGTAACTTTTAATTTAGGTAGCAGCTTGAGAATGCTCTTCCTCCAAAAGTATCCAATCAATATATCTTGAGTTGGTCAAGATGCATAATAGGATTCCTGAATGAGATTGACCTAAGTTAAATCATAGTGGTTGAAAATTTTGTGCAAATGCTTCATCAGCAAAGCCTTGTTATGAGTTTCAATGCCCAACACACCGAACCCACCATCCACTTTGGCAGGAAAACTTTGTCCCGAGCCTTCAAAGTAGTACCTTTATCTTCCATGCCATAGTTTCTCTAGAAACAATGCTTAAGATATTTGTTAATTTGGTCAAGCACAAATTTGGGCAACTCTAGAGCACATAAAGAGTGTGGGAAAACTAGTGAGACAATCTTTACCAACTGAAGCGTTTCCCCATATAAAAGGAATGATGATCATCTAGACATCCTTCTCTCACTTCTCTTCATAACAGGCAGAAATCATTTATCTTGGGTTTGGTGGTACAAAGGGGGAGGCCTAACACTAGTGCAAGTATGTAAAGGGAAAAGATCCTTGCACACACCCAACAATAGAAGCATGTTCAACTGTTGCCAGGCACATTGATGGGCAAAATCATAGATTTACTTTAATTAACTCCGAGTCCGGTATAGACTGTGCAACATAAGACTTTGAATGTGCTAAAGTTGAATAGGGCAGACATGCATAACAAAAAAATGGTATCATCAACATATTGGACAATAGGGAAATCATGGCATGCACCAGTAGGCAGGGAATGCCGGATAAGATTGTTGACCTCATCTTCATTAAAAATTGATTGTAGCAAATCTGTAGCCATGACAAATATAAGAGGGGAGAGTGGATCTCCTTGTCTGACACCTCCCTTGCAAGGGTATTGCATGCCTGGGATGCCATTCAGAAGTACAACTGAATAAACAAAGGAGTAAATCATGTCAATCCATCAAAGCCATCTCTTACCAAAAACTTTGGCTACCAACAACTGCTTTATAGTTTGATGTTCAATCATATCATAAGTATTCTCAAAATCTAATTTTAGAATGATCAAATGCTTGCCAGACTACTAGCATTGTTGAATTTATTCATATGCCCATGCCAGACAATCCAGGATAGATCTTGATTTTAGGAAGCCATATTGATTAGCATGAACCAAATTCAAGACAATTCTTTGGAGCCTATTGGCCAACAACTTCGTAATTATTTTGATGGAGAAATCCAACAAAGAGATGGCTAAAATCAATTACATTCACAAGTAGAACTTATTTAGGAATCAGAGTGATGAAACACGAGTTGTTGCTCTA